AAGAGAAAAAAAGAGAAATAAGAAAAAAAAAAGAAAGAAAAAACCAATATATATAAAAGACACATCAAAAGTGTACGCACATACGTTCTACACCTGCAATATTTGAGACTACCCCTGAATAAATATGAAATATTGATTTCATTGGAGAGTCATCTTGATACAAAATCGATATGTTATTTGCTTGCTATGACATTCTCTTTTAATTTCAAATACTTTTTTTTTCTATCATTTTGATTATTCATAAAAAAAAGATATCAATCAAGTAAAGGTGTACAACACGACATAAAACAGTTATTAAGGTATGTATATAAATGAAAGTGTCTATTGTATACAAGGCAAAAAAAAAAACAAAATCAGACATCTAGACTTCCGTTTTCTTTTTAATATTTTATTTTATATTGAGTGATTTGTTTGTAATTTGACGTTAAATTAATAAAAAATGAAATGTGAGTCTGTCGTTAAGTAAATATAGACAGTAGAAACATAAGTTTTATTTTTCTTATACGATCAATGTATGAGCAACAACAACAACATAAAGAACAATACTGATAAGACTCATAGACGCATTCGTATATCTAAAGAATTAGTTTCTTTTTTCTCTGTACGACACAATATTATAATAGAAGCGGGTCATTGTTGTTTTTTTGTTATTCCTAAAAATTCTCTTTTTTTTTCTTTTTGCGCAATAGTTTTCATTCTATCGCGTTTTTTTTGTTTTGTTTATTGTCTACATCAGAAGAAAAAGAGCATATATGTGCAACAACGTGTAAATTTTCATGGGATTTTTATCATATATTAAGAATGCTAAAAATTCCCATATAAAATTTTTCTTCGTACAATAATAATCTATCTTTATATATAAATCTGTGAAAAACACGATTTTTTTTATTTGTGATTTTCTTCATCGCAATAGACATATATATGCGTATTTATATATATGTGTGTCTAACAGTAGCAGACAGTCCTTTGTTCGTCTAGTTTAAACTTAAACGTATGCGTCTTTTTATTTTATTCTATCGATTGTTATTAGTATATAAGAAGGCACGATTGTCTTCGACGCCACACCCATATCTGTATTCTTTTCGCTTCTTTTTTTTTCCTTCTTTAGCAAACTAAATCTGATTGTTTATTTTGTAGTATAAGCCGAATGAGTCTAATGATGGTAAAGATATTTGCTCGTTCGTTGTCGTTTTTCTTTCTTTTTATTTTAATTAAACCAATTGTTTGCCAATGCATCTTACAATTTAACTTAAGTCGTCTTACGCGCAAAACAAAAAAAAAAACCAGGACAGACAATACCATTCTCTCTCTTGGTCTTTTGGTTACAAGCCAAAAAGAGAAATAGAGAAAAAAAAAAAAAAAAAAGAAAACGACGAAGAAAAAGAAAGAAAAAAAGTACGCTTTCGTTCGTCAATGTCATTCGACTATTTGCGTTGGATAGTTGCCAATACATCATGCCCTATACGACTTCCTCACATGATGCATTTGGCGTCTTCTCTTCTTCTTCTTCTTCTTCTTTTTTTTTCTCTCGACTGCACATACAACATAACTCATTCATCGACATATTCTCTTTCTTTTTTTCTTCATGAACGGTAGTAGTATAGGTCGTTTCGCTTGGTAAGCAATAATCAGTAACAGCATTATGTTTTTGTTGGATAGAGATATCGGTTTTTTTCTTCTTCTCTTTTTCTCTTTTTTTTTCGATAAAGAGAATATCTCTTATAGAACAATACATTTAGTGTCTCCTCCTACACTCATAACAATCATCGATATAAATAGATACTTAGTTTTTTTTTTCTATTTTAGATAGGCATTTGCTAAATATATTTTATCATAATGAGTACAATTATTCTAACTCCTTCTCAATCAACTAATTTAATTCATCATCAACGACAACAAAAACCTACAACATCAACAAGTAAAACAAATTCTTGTACGTATTGGAAGAAGCCATTTTTTTTTCTTGTAAGTCTAAATAAATTTTTTTTTCTTTTAGCTGTTGTTGACCCACTACGTGCTCGATATTTAATCGCGCATAAACTAGCCTCAGGTGGTTTTGGTGATGTTTATGCTGGTGTACGAAAAAAAGATGGTATGCCAGTTGCATTAAAAGTTATCTCAAAAAGACGCATGCGTGAAACAAATACAGTAAGTTAAGATATTGAAATACAAACAAACAACAGAACAAATTTCTTCAACGTAAATTATTTTATTTTTAGCCTGATGGAAAATTACCACTTGAAGTTGTTTTATTACGTCGTGTCGCTAAAGTTAAAAATGTAATACATATGCTTGATTATTTTATTCATAATGATCAACTTGTTATTGTACTTGAACGACCTGAACATTGTTGTGATTTATATGATTTTATATCTGAACGTCCAAATGGTCTTGATGAACGTTTAGCAAGAGATTTCTTTAAACAAATTATACAAATTCTTACAGATATTCATCAATGTGGCGTAAGTTAAAACAAGAAAAATGAAAAAAATTTCTATGGAAATTTTCTTTTTTTTTAAATTTTAGGTTCTTCATCGAGATATAAAAGATGAAAATTTTCTTGTTGATATGCGTACTGGACAATTATATTTAATTGATTTTGGTTCAGGCGCATTATTACATGATGGAATTTATACAGATTTTGAAGGTACATCATGTTATGCTGCTCCCGAATGGGTTACATGTCGACGATATTTTGGTTTACCACAAACCGTTTGGTCATTAGGAATACTTTTATATGATCTAGTCTGTGGTGACATACCATTTGCTGATGATTTATCAATTATTAAATGTCAACCACATTTTCCAAGTCACATTTCACCTGGTAAGTCAACAACAGAAGAAAAAAAAAAGAAGCTCAGTCAGTCGGTTCAAATAATGAACAAATTTTTTATATCAGCAGGAGAGATATAATTGAAAACACTTGTTATTAAATAAGATTGAATTGATCGGTATGTGCTTTTGTTTTTAGAATGTGTACAATTAATTGAACAATGTTTATCAATACGTTCATCAGAACGACCAACATTTGAACAATGTTTAAAATCTGAATGGCTTAAAAATCCTTCATCAAGAGACTTATGTTTATCATTAGTACCTCGACGACGTAGAGGACATAATTCTTCATCATCAAAATCAACAAGTTCTTCATCACGAGGAAATTCTCGTAATAACAACAACAACAATAATAATACATAGAACATATTATTTTGTCTTTGTCTTCTTCTACTTCCGTCCGTTGTCTCTCAGTTCAATGATTCGTTTTGTTTCTATGCAAATGACGTGCTGCTTACGTTTGTGCACAAATGAAATTGTACATCTTTTACTTTAATTTGAAAAATCTCAGTTAAAAATAAGAACATTTAACTCTTATGTTGTACAGACAATTATCTTTATTTTTTTAAATGTACTGAATACAACGTAACAGTCTTTTTCTTTTTCGTTTTGTGAGATATTTTCCGTCTTGTTTCCCTTTAATGTGGTATGTACAGAAGTACAATATTGTACTATTGACTGCAATACTAGTGTTTTTTGTTTTCTTTGGTTTTCTTTTTCTCTTTTTTCCCTCTTTTGTTCTTGTATAATAGTCTGTGTGTTTGGTTTTGTTGCTTAGTGAAAGGTGCGCTGTGTTTTTGAATTAGAAAAACAGTGTGTACATTTATGGTAATAAATTCTTTGAAAAAAAAGAAAGAACCTTTTTTTTTCATTATTTAATATCATGAATAATTGTTGTTCGATCGATACATTTTTAAGTATGTCTCAAGAAAGAAATTTAGTACCTTTAGGGAAATTTTTCTTTTGCGTGATAAGCATAATTGAAAAAAGAAAAGTAGAGAACGGAAGAAGAAGAAAAAAAAAAGTAAGGTTACTTATAATACGAAAGAGAGAAGTAAAAGACGCAAATAAAAAACGCGTTGTGAACGAGTTATGTGTCCTATGGTAACGAACGAAATATTTTCAACAATTTTAATGCACCATTAAAACAACTGCATTAAATTCGATGAACAACTCTTGTTTGCTTCGTTTTTTTTTTTTTTTTTGTTGTATTTTCTAGTCACAATTAAAAATGAATTCCATTATTCACTTTGTTAAATATTAATCGTATGTTTTACGTACATTTTCAACTTTATTATTTCTTATTTTTATAGTTAATTCATTCATACAGCAAAAATCTAGTTTAGATATTTTGTTTTGTCTTTCGTAACATTATAATCATCCTATTATTTCATTTACATCTTCTATAATGGACAAAAAAAAACAATCTATAGACGTCATTTAATGCATAGTTTATTGCTGATAGACGATTACTTTGTAGTAAATAAAGCAATGTATGAATAAATGGATCAATGGTATCATATATGATAAACATTATAGTTAAGTAGATATATGTCAAACCATATTGGTGATAATAAACGATGAAAGAATTCTTTCAACATAAATAAATATATAATTTAAGAAATAGTTTTAAAACTAATACATAAAGATATTTCTATTGATAATGATTAGACTATTGTATATTTAAAATGTAATCATATGTATGCAATAAAAAAATGATTGATTAGATTAATTGTTTCATCTGACATATGATTATATATAGTAAAATATATCATTTGTATTATGTTTTTTATCAATGTTCTTTATCAAAAATATTCAACAGGTGATACGACAATGTAACTTAAAATACTTAAATGACGATTTTAAATTGCATTTCATGTAGAAATAGGATAGGGAGAAAAAAAAAACATCTGGCTTATTTGAATCATTACACTAATTGGTTTCGTTTTAGTATAGATTTTTAATGTTAAGTACTTGTTGAATGTAGGTCAAAATCTGACATGTTTCTTTTCAATGATCGTATTGGTAAAGAACACTTGTCATTTCATGAACTCGTACTTTTTTTTTTTTAATTTCAAATGAAGAGAAATAATTTGTTGTTGTTGTTTTTTTTTTGCGCAAAATTAGTTTCGTTTAATTGTTAATTTATTATTTTGTTTTTGTAAATGGCAAAATCCATACAATTAACATCACATCCATTGGCTAATTATCCATTGAAAGTTTTATTACAACTTGAAAAAAATCATAAATTTGATAAATTACCTAATTTAAAAAATTATCCATCAGCAACTAGAATAGCTATAAGTAATAATAAGGTTATCAATCATATATATTATTATTAATTAAATCAATATTACAGACAATATATTTTTAATATTTTTATAGCTTCGTATTGCATGTACATCAGATATATTTGATAATACAACAAAACTAGTTGATTCATGTCCACTAGCTGATGTACTTATTATAGCTGGAAATATTTCACGTTATTCAAAATGGACAGATATTGTTAAATTTCGAAAATGTCTTGATGATTTACCAACAAAATATAAAATTCTTCTACCAGGAAGTTCTGATCTTTGTTTTAATCTTGAAAATCTTACTAATGAACAAGCGTATATTAAATTTTTCATATTTTGACAACAAAAAACTATTTTTTATTTTATAATTAGTAAACAATGTGAACGAGATAATATTAAACAAGAATTAGCAAAACTTGGATTAAAACATGTTTCACAATATTTAAATAATGTTATTTATTTACAAGATATGGGTGTTGAAATAGCTGGTGTTAAATTTTATGGATCACCGTGGTTAGAAAGAAAAACAAAAAAAAAGCATAATTAGTATAAAGATTGTTTTTTGAATTTATTAGGGTATCAACTAATAAAACAGCTGCATTTTATTGTTCTCGTAATAATATAATGAACAAATGGAATCATATACCACGTGGAATCGATGTTTTGATTACATGTCAACCACCGTTAGGTACATATGCTTAAAGAATATATCTCTTAAATGATATTCCTATTAGGTCACGGTGACGCTGATTATATTGAAGAACATTTAGGCGATGTTGACCTTCTCGGTAGAGGAAAAAAAAAATAATGAATTCTGTATGAATATATAATTGCTACATATGCTTGAATGCTTAGGAACAGTAGCATGTCGAATTGGGCCAACTTTTCATGTATTTGGATATAGTCGAGAAGGTCATAGATTATTCACATAATAATTTATATTTCGTTCTACCGATTTTTTTCTTTTTCTTTCTTTAGAATTTGGTATGTCATTTAATGGATATACATATTTTGTTAATGCAACTATGTGTACACGTTCTTATAATCCATCAAATGACTTAATTGTATTTGATGTTCCAATGCCTAATAATGCATCGAAAATTTCTCCGAATATTAATTATTTTACTGGTCTCATATAATAGACAATAGGTTAAAAATTTCAACAGATTATTTTATATGTTGATAAGAACGAAACAAAAAAAAGAAAAGAAAACAAGAATAGTATAAAAGTAGCTATATGATAAGAAAATTTTCTTTTATTAGTCTAAATATTCTTCAGACCACTTAAATCAATCAGAGTCAAGTACAGATATCGTATGAGTTAAATTTAACTCTTCAGCAAATATTGCTGCTAAACTTGCTCGCCAACCAGTACCGCACATATATAAGAGTTTTTTTGGTATTTTTATCAAATATATTTACGTTCGACATAATTTTTAAATATTCTTTTAATTCATTTCAAGTAATATCTCCATTGATTTGACCATAAATTCTATCGAGTGGATCATATTGAAAATTTGGAATATGACCAGTTCGATGAATATATGAATAACCAGTTATTTCACCTGAATATTCTTTATATGTTCTTACATCGATAAATTTTGTTGTTTGAGAAAGAAATTCATTAGATAATTGATCACAAGTCAATCGAATCTCTGGTCACAATGGAGTATTTGGAAGATTCGGTACTTGGGAATAATTCATTTTTTATAATGAAGGATCGATTTTTCCTTTTAAAATTTTAATATATTTACAACTATTCGAATATAAAAGCCAAGCAAAACAAGCTACCATCATTAGTTTTTCATTCGTATATAAAACAATAAATGCCTCTTGAGATAAACGATATTTATTTAGAAGTTTTTCTCTTATATCATCAAATGAAGAATATTTTCAATAGTTATTATTTTCATCAGTTTCAATATCATTCATTACATCCGATGTTATATTTAATAAATAAAGATTTTTTATTGAAAAAATTTCTTCAAATCTTATAAACCATTTAGATATGTTCATCTAAAAGAATTATTTTATAAAAAAAAAGAAACGAAGAGAAGAATTAAAATGAAATGAAATATTTTATTGAATTTAAAATTTGTAAACAATTTTCTTCATTAAGAATAGTTAATTTATTCGATGATTTAATTTGAATACCAAGATTTTTAAGCTAAATTAAATAGAAAATTATAAAATCGTTAATTAAATTGATACAAAAACGACCCACAAAAATGACTTTGGTTGTATATGCATTAAGGTCATGTTGAATTTGCATATGAAGTTTATTGTCAATTTGTCAACAAGGCTGTTGATAATATTGACACACTTGATAAAACTTTAGATGATTCACGAACACGCTCTAAGCGTTGAATATTATCTTCCATTTTGCGAACAGATGATAAGATCTCTGATCATAATTCATAACAGCTAAATTTATTAAAATTATTTATATTTCGAAAATGAATAAATGAAATCAAATACTTTTTAGTAATTTCTTTCATAGCTATTATTTAAAATTGTTTACATTCATCTTCAGTTAATATAGTATCACTATAGTCATTAGAAAATGCTTGTAAATGACAAAATGTTGCAAGAATACTATTTGATGGTTTACTAGGAGCCTAAATGGAATAAAATTTTTTTTTTGTGTGTATTTTAAGAATTGGAACATGCAATAAAACAAATTAAATAAGAATTTGTTCAAATAAATAGCAAATTGATCGAACTAGTTCAGAAATCCTGCTAAGATCATTTTTAAAGAAACAATATCAACGCACAAGCGCTATTTTTTTCCAATAAATATTCATAATTGATTGATTTTGCATTTTTCTTCTTATCTTTTCCTATGGAATTTATAAAATAATTTGAAAATTTTGTTTTTTGTTGTTTTTGTACTAAAAAACATTCTTCTACGTACATTTTATTACAATTTTCAATAAACATGCCTCTTTTATCAATTATTTTTCCATAGAAATATATCACGATCGCATTAAGAACACTTGAAAACAAAAAATGTTTCATTTCTGTACTACAATAATAATACATCATGTACAAAAAAATATAAGAAAGAATGCAAAATAATTTTGAGGCTATAGTCCGAAATATGCACGTACAAGTACATTTATTTTCTGTTCTATTCAATATGATCATTGTCTCATGTCACATTGATTTTTCATTATCAAGGACAAAAATCAGTGATTGATATTATTTAATACTTATTTCTCGATTTGTTTTTCTATACAATCGAAGATATTTCTTGTATGAAATGAAATGTTTCATTATATCGATCAAATAATTATTCAATAACTAAATTTTTATAATTTTTACGACATTCATATGTTAAACTTAAAAGTGTTTCATCCAAAACTAATTAAGAAAAATAAATATTTGTTTTTTTTTGTTCAATGAAAAAACAAAAATCTTTTATTTTTTACTATTTGTTAATTCTATAGATATATTTGGTGATAATGAAATAATTGATGAAAGTCGTTGATCAAGAATAATATTTTGAAAAATTTTTTTTTACTTCATTAGAAAATGTTTGAAAATCAACATAAAGATTTACAAGAAATTTTGTATCGATTGTTTTAATCTAAATATAGAAATGAATTTGTTTTTTTTTTGTCTTAAGAAAATAATTTAATTATTTACATTAAATGTTTCAATTCATATTCGAAATCAAACAATATATTGTAATGTTAATTTCCAAAATCGATGTGATAATGGTTCAAGAAAAATATTTGTTTACCAACAATGATCAATTGATTGAAATATTGTTAATGTAATTATTGTTTTAAATAATGAATTTTTTTCTTCATTTAATTGAAATGGTTGATTGACAATAATATTTTCAATTAAATTTGATATTTCTTGAAATCTTATTTGATAATAAACAACTAAATCCCATCGCGATAAAAATTCAAAATATATTTTCGATTATTTTAAATTTTGTTCACTTAATTTTGATAAAATACTTTTAATTTATTCAAGAAATTTTAACCAGTATGAGTATCTTTCATGAAATATATCTGGATCACCAACAAAAAATAATATATTAAATGATTGTTCAAGACATTGTATTAATTCAGGAAATATTGAATTAACAACAAAACCAAAATGACTACCACATTCACGATTTATACGTTCAACAGCGCAAAGCATTGCTCATTCTTCAATAAAAGAAAAAAAAACAAAATTTTAACAAGAGAAAAAGTTCGGTTCGGATAATTTAATAGGGTTTATAATAAGTTTTGAATACTTAGATAAAATTTAAAATAGTGCTAAAATGTTCGTATGAGGGAATATTTCTAAGTGTCAAATCATTTTTTAGCTGAGTCTATATTCATCAGACATTGATTTGGTTTAAAAAAAAAACAATACGAATCGATCCCAACTGTAATGTACATTATGTAGATTCTAATGTGCTATGGATATCTTGAAAAGAGTTCGAGCTAATTACTACCGAGACACTATTTTTTATGAATATGCTTTTATCTCTATCAAAAACTGATTTTCCAGTTTAGATCAAAAGATTTGCATAGAGACAGGTACTAAATCTCATTAAGACCCGTCGCTGTGCAAAGCTTACGTTATAGTACAGAACATCAACAAGGAAATATTCTACATAGATGTTAGTTATACATGATTACGAATAGTCCTTTAAAGCGGTGTGTCACGGTCTGTGACAGGTTACATGACTGTCTGTCATAGTCTATGAGGGTGGGGCTGGGTGCTAACTTCTACCCTATATACTTCAACACTCCTTTTAGATCGTGTTTCACAAAATAGTATCTCAGCAATAATTAGCTCGAACATTTTTTAGTGTATTCATAGCTCATTGTATTCGGCATAATTCATAGAATTCCAACTCAAAAGCAATTCGATACTTAAAAACATCCTCTCGTTAGACAAGTAAGATCTTTCATCGGATACTTTTCAGATAAATTTCTACTTTTGATGAATAGTCGTCTAGAAAATCGTAAAGACGGCTTGTTTTCATGGCTTCTAAAACTTATTTATACGATCTCAATAAATAGAGGTTAACAGTTTTATAAATTTTCCGTTCTAACACTATTAATGAGCAAGTTCCGGAAATCTCATACCAAACTTCAAATAGATTTTTCATCTAATTCTATTAAAATTTCAACCTTATTGCATTCACTATTTTGTAAAAGTACGTCGTAGATATGACCGATCTTTATATCAGAAAACAAATTTTCTATTTTGTGAAACGCAACCTAGAACAAGTGCTGAAGTATAGGGATAAAAATTCCTCTTGCCTCATAAATTATATATGAATAATGTCTCATTATAATAGATGAAATACTTCCTTATTGTATTGCTGAAAACTGAATCACAAAAGTCCTCTCGAATATACTCCCAAAATATCAAAATTTTGTACTTCCACCCGCAGTCACAATAGCTGACCTCGAGTCGTGTATAATGCTCCAGCGTAGAACGTTTCTCGGATAGTCTTCTATCTATTTTTATAAGTTATAATTTCAAAGGTTTTTCAAAAAATCAAAATGCTTTTGAGGATTTAAAAAGTTTGAAAATAACATTTACAAGAAGACTTAAAAATTTATCTATCCCAAACTCTGAAAGCTAGACGTATTTTGATATAAATATACTAATTAAGACTCTAATTTTTTGAGAAACCAATTTATTGAAGACGAATCTTCTGTTGCAGGAATAGGATTTTTTTTTTGGTTGGTATGTTTACTATGAAAATATCTGAAAAACGTTTCAAGTGAGTTCGATAACAATACACATTCTTTAAAAAATATCACGAGCATACATGCCATTCTTTATTAGTACCTGTTAAGTTCAAAATTATTGTATCGGAAACATTCTTCTAATTTCAACAAAATTTTTAGTCTCAGTTTTCGAGTCGGTTCAAAGGTGCAAAATACTTTTCTAATCGATTAGTTACTACAAATGTACCGAAAGCTTTAACGAAATATAAATGATAATAGAAGTGTTTTTGTCCAATTTACTTTGATAGATTTATTATATCATCAGTTTCATTTAACTATTGTATAGATTTTTGTACATCAATTATTGATTGTATAACTTATTTTCGTTGACGAATATCTTATTGTTCACGTAATTTTTCTTCTATTTCTTGTTGTTGTTTACGAAGAGTTTCATTTATTTTCTATTGAAAAATTTTCTTTTGAAATAATTAATAATGAAAATAAAAAAATATTTACCATTATATCAGTTTTCATTGCAGTCAATGGATTTTTAAGTGTTGTCATAGATTTATCAAAGCCAATCTAAATAAAAGTTCATCTTAGATTCTTTTTTTTGCTTTTTCCTCAAGAGTCATTCTGCGTAAGCTACAATCGTCCCTACTCAATCGATGGTTTTCTATATGTTATCGAGACAAGTGTTTTATGAATTTCTACCCAAGATGTTTGAAAAAACATTATTTCGTTTTTGAGATGCTGGAATTTTTTGAGATTACTATCGTCAAAAAACGACATATCGTTTTACTTTTTTTTTTATTACCGCTATGTTTCATCATAGATATATTTTACCTAGAGAGAGAGATCTTATTGAGTGCTTACTCTGGTAAAAGTTTTAGCTTTCTAGATAACTTTTGACGATCGGGAATTCTTCTCCAAAATTGTGATTATGCTTGAAATCCTGCTATTCGAAGCAACCGATCTAGAGAAAAATCTGGTCTATGCAAGTTCGAGTTATACGGTTTTAAACTACGTACTGACTATGACAAAGTTCCGTAAAAATCGGTCTGAAAGGCCGAATTATAACATGCAGAGCTTTATTAAAAAGGAGCCCAAAATGGCTCCTTTTTCAAGCTTAATATACTTAAATCGTTCAGAAATGAACAGAAAACTTTTCATATGTGGAACAATTTTTAACCAATACAAATCGATATGACTTTCTATTAATCGATAAAATCATCGATTGAGTAAGGTCAGTCATAGTTCTTAAGTAAAAATAAAAGAATTCTTCTTCATACCAAATTAGTTGATAAATTTAAAAACTCTGCAAAATCTCGATTTATTAATTCTACCATACTGGATTTAATTACACGTAAAAATAAATCTAAATCATCACATAGTTTTTTCTAAGCCAACTTCACATTTATATTTAACAACAAATGCATCAACATTAAAATCCGCCTAAATAAAAATTAAATATGAAAATTTTTTTTCTTGTCATTATATCCTTTTTTTTTATCTTTTAATTCTACTGTTGATATTTCATCTCGATCAAAACAAAATGTTGATGATTCATTTGTTAATCCCACCATTACCTTTTTTTTGTTTGTTTATTGTTATTTAAGATCTAGAAGCATAAAGTCATGAGAAAACATTGTTCATTGTATTCATTATTATTGCTTTTTGTTTATTGAATAAGTTTACAATAAAAAAAAAACACAGTCTAGTGCATTCAAGAAGCACAAATGGAAAGAAAAAATAAGTACAAACACATTGAATTTTTTTTCAGCAAAAGAAAAAAAATGAAAAAGTTTTTAATTGCATTTCATAGAATGCTTAAATGAATGGAATAGATATGATCATTAGATAAATTGAGATGATTTTAAATAATTAATAAGACAACGATAAACAAAAACATATGAATATGTATGATCAACAAGTGACATTCGATGTTCACGCATTACTTTTAATACACTTGCTACACTTAATTTCTAAATATAATAAATTAAATTAAATCTATTTATTAAAATCAATTTTTCTATACTTTATTAAATGTGATATATTGAATCATTACATGAATTTGGAATGAAGATTCCAGTACGACCAATACTGAAATTTATCAAAGAACAATTAAAAATTTCTATAGATTTAAGCTATTAAGAATAAACTCATAAAAATTAAATAGGTTTGGATTAGAATATGAAAAATTCATAGTCATGCTAAAGTACGAATCAGTAGTGGGGTGACTCTAATATTTTGGAGTACATTACTCATCATACTTTATTTGTACTTTTGCCCGTACTTCAATGTACTGAAGTTGCACTTTTTTCCTTTGCCCTCGACTAGCTAATCATTTTTGAATCAAAACTATATACATTATATGGAGTCTAATGAGGTATGAATACCTTGAAAAAGGTTTGAATCCTAGCTTAATAGTACGGTTATACTGCATTTGTACGATATTCTTCAAGTTAATGCTGTGACACTCCACAGAAACACTGATTTTCGAATTTCGATTTGAAACTTTGTACAAAGAGGGATTTTGCCAGAGATTGTTTTTTTTTTATTAAAATTTCAGATCTTCTTGATTTGCTGTTGCTTTTCTGAAATAAGTGTATCAAATCTACCGGTGTATATGAGCAGTGTAAAAGACAAGTTCTTTTCAAAGCTGTATTTTAGGACCAGAACCACACGTAGAAATCATTTCAATATTGTCTACAACCGTATCCTCTTTTTCAATCGAGAATTCGTTTTCTTTTTTGATATTCATGCCTAAAGGACTCTTGTTTGTAGGAGAATATCTTGTTTATATGGAAGTATTTCAATCGTTGAGAAATAAATTCACTCTGTACTGCCTACAAGTGGTTCCAGAAGAGTGAGTGGACAGAAGCAGCTTATATTCTATGGTATTGAAGTAATAGAAAAAGGAAGAAATGAATATATAAAAACTAATTTTTGAAACAATGTATAACTACTAGAGAAGCTTCATTGATTAGAAATATTATTCTAACTTCTTAGATAATAACGTTTACAATACATACATTCACTGTCTGCTCGATAGTAGGAAAATAATCTATTCTGTGCCCTATTGTCTGTAAGTTACGAAACTTTCGAAGGTTATATTAATCATTATGCACCCCTTCATCAATATCTATCATGCAACAAATCTAAAAAATCTGTGCTAGAGATGAAAGCTAATGTTTTAATCAGCAGCGGTGACTCAGCCGATCGGCTTACAACTCTAAACTGTACTAACTAAAGCTAAAGAATGTTTTTCTTTAAAAAAATTCATTTATTTGATGCTCAATATTTCGAAGATGGAGCGAATAGAAAGAAATGATCTGTTTTTTTTCTCATTAATATCTCATGAAGTTTACTGCGAAAACATGCTTTTAAACGTCTTTTTATTTTTGTAATTGATTCACAAAAAAAAAACGCTTATCTGCATTACTCTTAAAGGATTCCAGTTAT